AACTTGTATGAAACGTAGTAAAGCTGAGGAAAAGCCACGTCTGAAAAGATTTACTCACATTAAACATTCAGGGCTTTTTTAATCTTCACCAGATTTTTTAGTTTCTCTGTTAAATCTGAGAAAAGATCAAACTGTAAACAGATTTTTATGATGAGATGGAATCAAAGTGTCGAGTTTGTGTCCTTTTCTTCCTCAAAGCTTCCAGATGCAAACTGAAAGAAACAATTTATAAACTTTTGATTGTAAATCCTATGAATTTTCTTATTGTTTTTTTTTTTACAGATTCAGTAACTGGTTTGTTTTAAAACAAGAAAAAAATCTGTTAAGTAACGATAATAAATCAAACCAAACTGAGATTCATTAAGTTCAACAGAAAGATTCATTCTGACGCCTCAAATATTCACATTTTTACAGAGTTTTTCAGTAAACTGGATCGAAATCTCTGCTTTTTCTTCATTTTAAATGAATAATCTAGTGTTGGTTCTGCTCTCTAACCCCACCACCCGTCCTGATCCCTCCACCCAGTGTCCAAACCTCGTCCTCGTCTCTGTCCTCTAATCTATCCGTCACGTTCAGGACAGGGTCGTCCTCTCAGAGGGTAAACTAGCCTCCGGTAGTCGTGCCACGATTTCTCTCCGGTGAAGATGCAGCCGAACGAGGCTGAAAGTCTGTTTTAACGTTAAAAAAAGAAGAAAATAAAAATAAAGAAGTCGTTTGTTCTTCCTCCACTCGACTGATGWTCTGTGTTTCTCCGGCACGGTTTGGGTTTTTGGTTCAGTTTGTGTGTTTTTGTTCCTCCGCCCGGCGCTACATGATGATGCGCGGCTCTGGCACCGACTCGTTGATGGATTTGTGAGGCAGGACGTTGGCGCCGTTCAGGTAGAGCTCGTCGTTCACGATCACGTCCTCGCCCAGCACCGTCACGTTCTCCATCCGCACCTGAGGACCCAGAGGGACCGGGTGTTCAGTCCTGACCCGCTAACCCAGGTTTAAACCACTGCAAAAACTGTCCATCTTAACAAAGTTTTAAAATCTTATATCAGCCAATAAGTCTTTTTGATCTTGTTTTGAGACTGATTTACTAAACAAGAACTGATTCATTGAGAACAACAATCTTGTTTTCAGAATGTGTAAGATTATTTGTCTTGTTAGTCTGAAAATTTGACTCAAATTAAGTCAAAAAATTTCTGCCAAAGGAGTAAGAAAATTTTACTTGGTAAGATTCTTGAAATAAGAAAAAAATGAGTCAAATCAAGTATTTCAAGAATCTTACCAAATAAAGTTTTCTTACTCCARTGGCAGAAATTTTTTGACTTAATTTGAGTCAAATTTTCAGACTAACAAGACAAATAATCTTACACATTCTGAAAACAAGATGATTATTCTTACACAATCAGTTCTTGTTTAGTAAATCAGTCTCAAAAAAAGATCAAAAAGACTTTTCGGCTGATATAAGATTTAAAACTTGGTTAGGTGGACAGTTTTTGCAGTGTACTCACCCACTGGCCCACAGACGAGCTCCAGCCCACGATGCAGCTCTCCAGCCAGGAGTGCGAGCGGACCCTGGAGCCCTTCAGCACCGTGCAGCGCTTGATCCTRACGCCGTCCTCCAACACCACGCCGGCGCCGAGGGTCACGTTGGGGCCGATGGTGCAGTTCTTCCCGATCTGCGCCGTGGGGTCCTGGAGGAGGGGAGTTCAGGACGAACGCTTTAACGTCCTGGAGTTTTTTTTATTTTTCATTACAGATCAAGGAGCTGCGCTCACCACCAGGACGTTGCCGAGGAAACCGGGCCCCGTGTGCAGCCTCTCCGGGGCGTGTTGCCGGAGCGACTGAAGGTACAAACACATCCCTGTGAGGAAGTCTTTAGGCTGACCGATGTCCATCCAGAAGCCTACAAACAAACAAAGAGTTTCACCAGAAAACCTCCGACAGGTGAATTACAGACAGACGAGATGATTTCACCTCATCTACATCCAAAAACATTTATATGAATAAACAAAGTTCTGCAGGTCGGATGGAAATATTTAAAAGGTTTCATCGTAATTTTATCAGAAACATTAAAATTACTTTTAAATTWAAAAAGCTGAAACTTGAGGTGAAGTTAAAAGAAGCAGAACCCAATGCAGTAAAACGAAAGCTAAAACACTAAAAAAGTAGCTAGAAGCTAAAAGGTAAGCTAATTGCATCAAATGCTAGCTTAAAGGAACAAAAGACCAGCTAATAACTAAATATAGCAAAAGGCTAGTTAAACAAGAAGTTGGCTAAAGCTAAATGTAGGAAAAATGCCAGTCTTAAAGTAGTTAAATACATGCTAAAAAATGTTAAAACAAAGGCTAGAGGCTATATGTAGGACGTAGACTAAAAGCTAAAAAGGAGCAAAAGACTCGCTCAAACCATGAAAACAGTAGGTAGAAGCTAAAAACAGCAAAAGGTTAGCAAATTGGTAAATGTAGTAAAATGGTAGCTAAAATGAACAACAAAAAAAGGACTAGCAAATAGCTAAATGAAGCCAAAAAAAAAAGGCGAACTAAAAGCACCAAAACACTAGCTAAGAACWAAAAGTTAAGCTAAATGGTAAATGTAGCAAAATTCTAGCTAAAAGGAGCAAAACACTGGCTAATAACTACATGAAGCAAGAAGCTAGCTAACACACCAAAACAGCAGCTGGAAACAGTAAATAGTAAAAAGGTAAATGTAGTGAAAGGCTATCAAAAAACTAAAAGTATAAAACATGAAAACAAAGTTTAGTCTGAAGCTGAAACAGTTTTCCAAGAAAAMGTTTGTGAAAGAATTAGAGAGATCTATATGTATTTATATGAAAAAATATTAATAAAGTTCATTATTTTGAAATGAATAAAAATTACAATAACTTAAAATCACAGCACCCATCTCCCAGAATGAGCTGAAGGTTTTGATACACTGTAAACAACTGTTCATTAAAGAAGAACCCGTCCAGAGGACCTATACAATTTTTTTTCCACTGTAAACAACAATAATCCAATCAGAGCCTGTAATACACTGTGTTACCACTAGGTGGCACCAAGTGGCTTAAAAAGCACCCTAAAACTACAGAGTGCTAAAGAATATAGGTTAGACAACTAAAAAACAAGCAACAAAAACAAGAAAACATGGTGTGTTATAATAAAATAAAGAAGCAGATTTACAGAAATTAATTATTGATCTAAACCTCAGGGTGACAGATTATTGGGGGGACCACACTTTGATCAAATTGCAGCAAATTCAGTCTTAACTGTAACAAAAAGCTTTAAACTTTAAACAATCCTTATTTTAAATTATAAATATTTATATTCTTCAACCAGCAACATTCAGGGTCACAGGTCTTTACAGTCTGTGGGTCAAAAGCTGAAATATTTGGGGACCACCAGTCTACAGGACAGGAAGGAGGTTTTTGAGCATCTGAAGGATCTCAAAGAGGGACGAAGATGAAGAGAAGCACCAAAAACTGAATCCTGATCAGACCAGGAAGCATCTYAACATTAAAAAATAAACTGTTGCTGTTATTTCTGACGACGTTTTTTTTTTTTAAACACGTCGGAGCTTCTCCACATGTAAACCCTCTCTGGAGCTACACGAGTTCAGATGTGAGGAAACACTTACGTCTGGTGGAGCTGAGAGCTGCAGAAACCAGAACCAGAACCAGAACCAGAGCGTGAGGTTAACCACTTTTGATTTTAATAAAAATAAATAGAATAATTTTGTTGTCTTTGCTCTCCAGTTGTTTTCAGATGTTGGTTGTGTAAAAGCTGCAGCCCTACATGAAATGAGTAAAAGTGTAAAAGCTGATGGTTACCCTGCAGCTCCATGGCGTACAGATGACCCTCCTCCGCCATGACAGGAAAGATCTCCTTCTCTATGGACGTGGGTCTGAGCTGCACACAAACGACAGAACTCAGTTTCTGTGATTTCAGAGCGGATGAGAGGACGACAGCAGCAGCTGCGCTGTCGGGGCGTTACCTGGATCCTGCTGAGCATGCTGGGATTGAAGATGTACATGCCGGCGTTGATCTTGTTGGAGACGAAGACCTGCGGTTTCTCCACGAAGCGCTGGATCCTGCCGCTGTCGGACTCGTACACCACCACGCCGTACTTCGACGGCTCCTCCACCCGTGTGACCTTCACACCAACAAAAWATAAGACTTTCTCCAGATTGTTCTGCAGCAGCTCAGAACGATAAGAGGAGGTCAGAATCAGCTGAAATCAAACAGCTTTCTCACCACGATGGTCCCCTCCTTGCCGTGGCTGCGGTGGAACTGRAGCAGATCTTTGAAGGGAAAATCGCAGATGACGTCCGAGTTGAGGACGAAGAACGGCTCGTTGTCGACGTTCAGCAGGTCCCGAGCCAGCGCCAGGGGGCCCGCTGCGCACAGATAAAACACAAATACAAAACATTTTCAGCGGGTTTATTAAGACAGGTAGCCACGTCTGAGAAGATTTAAGGCTGGGAAACTGAGTTGGGTTTGCAGCGTACAACACTGAAGGGTGTAAAAAATAAAATTAAACTCTGGGATCAAAGATTAGATTGAKACTGGCTGGGTCCTCCAAAGGCCCAATTTGTTGCACTGCTGCGCTGGAGGCTGTTCAAATTCAAAGACTCCTCCTATGAAACAGACAAATGTGTTCTTTTTCCCTGYTTTGAGGGACGAGTCCGATGGATCCTGCTCAGTCCACCATATCCCATAATAACAGTTTCTTTTTTCATAATGGCAGACGAAGCAAGAGAAAGTACAGTATTAAAGTATTAAATAAAAATCTGTTCGTAACAAAAAAGTTTCAAGCCGTTGTTTTAATGCTTTTATCATTTGTATTGACATGGTTTTAAATATTATTCTTGTCAGAAATCAAACAAGTTGGTAGAGAAATAAACCCTACGGCAGGTCCACTCCCAACCTTTTTAGACTTGTGTTCCCCCTGAGCCATTTTGTCATACCACTAGTACCCCTCAGTCAAACGGAATGATGATTTTCCAAAACTATAAAGTACAACAGCTGATTGTTAAATGAAAATTATTCATTTAAACCTGGAAGGTTTAATTCTCAGACATTTTATTCTTTTCAACTCAAATTAAACAAAGATAAAAATGTTGCCTTGAAAGTGAATAAGTAATTAATAGGGGTGCAACAACACATGTACCCGTATCAAACAGTGCTTTAGGTTCAATACACCGTGTATCAAACTATACAGATTTTTAAAATTTACTTTATCAGCTTGTCTTCTGAAGATGCTCTGTGTTGAAGGATCAGTGGATCTGTGTTCGACTACTCCACCTAGGCTGTATTGTCGAGCACAGATACACTGAGAAACTTGCTGTTTCAACAACATTTAATTTAAAAAATTTGAGGTTAAACGTTCATAATTAATTTCAATAAATTACAAGTTAAAATGGGCATGGAAATTTCTCTTTTTTGTATCGAAAAAATATCGAACCGTGAGACTAAAGTATCGAACCGAACCGTATNCACCTAGGCTGCATTTTGGAGCGCAGATCCACTGAGAAACTTGCTGTTTCAACAACATTTAATTTAAAAACTGTACTTTTGAGGTTAAACAAACGTTCATAATTAATTTAAATAAATTACAAGTTAAAATGGGCATGGAAATTTCTCTTTTTTGTATCAAAAAAATATCGAACCGTGAGACTAAAGTATCGAACCGAACCGTATTGTGAATTTTCTGCATCGTTGCACCCCGAGTAATTAAATAAATAAACCAGGTAATGGCAGGTGCAGGAAGCAGCAGCGTCCAAAATACGTCAGAAACTCATCGAAATGAGCAAAATCTGTGAGATTCTGCGTGTTATACAGGATTCCATTTTGTGTCAATTCTGTGATTCCATGAGCCCTACATACCGCAGTCCTATTTTATTTTTTTTACACACCTGGGAAATTTTTCCACGTACCCCTGGCTGGGAATCACAGCGTTAGTTCTTCAAATATTACCTTTAAGCTAGTTTATGATGTTTATAATACTGATATATTGATGTTTTGATAATTTCGATCAATTTTGCTTCTYTTTATCGTCGTCCCATTTGTTAGGTGACAGGACATACCCCAGGGGTCAGGGTGGGAATAAAGCCGAAGTTTAGACCGTTTAAATTCACAGCTATTTTTCTCCGGTCATCGCGGTTAACCAGGACCCCAAGTTCGAAGGATCCAGCCCCTGAATTTGGACACAGCATCATCAGGTAAAAACAACAAATCAATAACCTGCCTTCTTTACTAAAACCTATGAATGTTATGACTTTTGCTGACAGTTCTTTCCTTTTTTATGTTTGTGTTTTTTTTAATCCAGAAACACATGAAAAACACACGAGCTGCCCTCATTCTGGTAGTAAAATGACCTGGAACAGCTGCTCTTTGTTGTGGTGCTGAGACGGATGTTTGTCGCTTCAGTTTTGTCTGAAGCGGCGAGACACTCACCYGTTCCCAGAGGCTCCTTCTCATGAGACAGAGAGATCTGAATCCCGAGCTGAGGACAAAACAGTGAAACGCTCAAGAAGCAGAAGACTGATAATGATTTCAAATTTTTTCTTTACAGAAAACACAAGAACAATCCTCGTCTCTTGAGTCACAAGAACTACAAAACTCCCTCTGACTGTCAGTTCAGGGTTTTAAAAGTATTATTTGCTATTAAAAATCCATCATGTCGCAGAGAAATTTAAGCTTGACAGTTTTGRGTTCACGACTCACCCTCTGCTCCTGGACTCTCATCTCTCTCTCCAGCAGCTCTGACATGTAGCTCACAGCCAGAACTACGTGGGTCACTCCAGCCTGCAAACACACACGGCGACCGATCAATAAATTACAAAACCAACCCGMCAGTGACCCGTGTACCTCCTCTATACCTTCACCAGAGCCTCCACTTGATGCAGGAGGATGGGCTTYTTGCAGAACTCCACAAGGGGCTTGGGGACGCTCAGGGTGAGGGGTCGCAGCCGGGTCCCYTACCCCCCAACCAGAATCAGAGCCTTCATCCTTCAGCCGTTATTAACAGTGATCAGATGGGAGACGGCTCATCAATGAGGAGCCTGAGAAACACAGTGATTAATGGAAACAGAGTATGACATCTTTAACGTCTATTAACTTACGATTATCATCAATGTTATAAAGGTTTTCACAACTGCTAAACTTGAGATTTTATTTTAAAAAATACTAAAAAATGACATTCTTCAAAGTTTGAACGTTACAGGTTTTTAGAAGCTACAGCAAACAGGATACCTTCTTTATACATGAGCAAAAATAAATAAAACCCAGCAGAAAAACATGTTTTACAACTGGTGATGATATCAGCTCAACTGACTTCATTGAGCCTTAAAAACCAGTTCTTGTGAACGTGTCTGGGTTCATGTGTCGCTGTCACTGAATGAACAAGTTTCTCGGTCAGTGATTGTTCGATGACATCCGTCTGACGTCTCAGGTTTTAAACAGCTGTGACGTATAAAAGTTGAGATTATAGCAAAGATTAGAGAGAAAAATGTCCACTAAAACAAATAAGTGTCTATCTGTGGACTGACATAAACAAGTAGCAGTTTATTTCACAATCATTTTAGAACAAATGTATAACAAATATTAGGACACTTACTTTTTGTTTTGTAGTTTTTATGTTTTTTTTACATAATTTAGAAAACTCTGTGCTATTTTAAAAGGTTTCCTCATATAATTTTCAAAACAGTTTTAAACATTATATTTATTGAAAATATAGTAATACTATATTAATAACACATTTTAAATAAAATATATTTAATCTACAATGATTATTTCGCCTTTATTAAATTGTCATTGATTAGTGTCAGGAAGACAGATTAAATTGGGTACTGATTTCGATACAACACCAGATGCTGATTTAGTGTTTTCCACTCACAGAAATTTATTCTTATTGAGAATAATGTCTGAAAGTTACACGTTTGTATCCGAGTCGAGACTTAAAATAAAATAAAAGCGGGCTCGTGTTTTTAATTGAACTCGTGATGTTAGCTAACTTTAGCTAAGTTTATCTAGCACAAAACACCGCAAACCAAGAGTTTTTGAACATAAAACGTGCATGCGTGTCCGTGTGAATGAATGAAGAAAATTTAAACTTACAAGGACTTGATAACTAAAAGCCTCCAGGAGGTTTTCTGAATCACTGAATCACTTAAAATGACACGTAAGATTGTTCAAACGCGAATTCCTTGTTTGTTTTCCGGTGCACGCAAATGACGCAAAGTCGAAATGTATTACAWATACAGCATCCGGTATAGATTTTCAAAACAATTGTCTCAAACCTAATTTTCGTCGTGGAATTAAAAACAAACATTTCATAMATTGTTTGCAAGTATATTATAAATAATAAGGTTTTAGAATTCCACAACTTTACATGTAAAATTGAAGTTTTGTACTTTGCCGTGACAAAAATAACTGTGAAGTTTTCTTTTGTTTTAAAGCCTAGTCATGCTATTTCCGGTAAGCCTGACTAACTTAACGATCACCTTTAACTTCGCTCAGATGACTGACCACGCGCTAAAACCAAGGAAATGTCCTCAAATCACTATTACTCTTCGAAAATGTTTTAATGTTTTTTTATTACCTAAATGATCGGGGTTAGAGCGTTACATGAATAAATAACTCTGATTTAGTTCTTTTCGCCACTCACATTTCGCYTAATGGTATGTCCCACAGTTAGGCTACGCCCCTTTTCTTATTCTGTCCAATCAGAGAAAACCACCGTGGCAAACGTGGATAAAGCCACGATTTTATAGTTTTCTTCGCATTTTTTTTTTACATCGTTTCCTTGGCTTTGAAAAAAATAGTTACTTGAACGGCTGCAGC